TTTAATAAAACCTATTTCAGCTTCACTGCTCTGAGGAAGTTGCTTTCATGAATACGAACATGGCTATATTTTTAAGTGCGCAAACATGATTTTCTATGGATCACTTTCTTTAGTTTAAGGTTCACTGCTGAATGTATTATGGATCAATTGCAATATGTTTATGGGTAATTCGTACAATTTCAATGCTCATTCCATAGAAATTGAGCGGTACATTTTTACAATTGTGTTGCTAAATTTTACATTAAATATGGATCATATTGATATTTTTTATGGATCATTCACACTTTTTTAAGGATTTTCTCCGAAGTTTTATGGATCATTTGGATATTTTTTATGGAACGTTTTCCAATATTTTATGGATCATTTATTGGTTTTTATGTTCAAAAGTATGTTTGTCATTTCGATCCTTTATAAAATGCAGCAGAATTTGATCGTAATGTTTGGGAAAGTGAGGGACCAAACATCAGTCCAGGTTCAACTGTTTTTTATACAGACGGTTCAAGATTGAATTGTGGGAGCAGGGGTAACTGGTCCAAGGATAGATATCTCAATATCAGAGGGTTTTCGTGCCAACCGTGTTCCAAGCAGAAATTCAAGCAATTCTTGAATGCTCTGTAATGTGCTTGCACAAAACACAACACATTCGAATATCTGCATTATGTCTGATAGTCAAGCAGCATTAAATGCTTTAAAATCAGAAACATGCAACTCAAAACTCGTGCAATTTCACTTCAGAAATTGACCTGTCAAAACCAAGTAAACCTATACTGGGTTCCTGGCCACTGTGGAATTGAAGGGAATGAAAAAGCCGACACATTAGACAGGCTAGGATCATCTCAACAATTCATAGGACCAGAACCATTCTGTGGAGTTTCTTCTTGTTCTCTTAAAATGGAGATCAAGAAATGGAAAAAAAATTAAAATGGAGACCAATTGGAACAACACTTCCATTGCTAGGTAATCGAAACGGATCATAATTCCGAACATTTCAATGACAATCAAAATTCTTGAATTATCAAAGAAAGATCCTAGTGTCTATACTGGTTTGATAACAGGACATTGTCCACATAGGTCTGACATGCAAGCGGTTTTTGTCGCCAAAGTATTAACTAGTGAGGTGGATGCACCTGCCATTCTTGCCGATATCAACGTTTATGTACCTGAACGCCCCCTTCGTCGGCGTAACTTCCTGCATTTGGCATCCCGCAACAGTCGATACGGGCAACACGACCCAATACGGTTCATGGCCTCTCGCTTCAATGATGTATCTGAGCTTTTCGACTTTGAAGCTTCTGCAGCTACTTTTCAACGCCGCCTAAGTAATCGATTGTAAAGCTGTTATGTGCATGGATTGATTAAGAGCAGGTGAGTGACTGTCCATCCCCTGATGACTGTATGAATTGTGCTACCTGTTTTCATTTTTGTTTCCGGTTGCTTTCGACCCTTCCACGAGGACTTGACAATCAATGACGATGCTGCACTGTTGCTGACACACTTTTATGACACTGACCGCATTTTAACGTTTTTAATTTATACTGTAGTAATTATTGTATTTTGCATTGTTTTTGCTGTGAACTGTGTAATTGTTAATGTTTAGTTTCTGTTTTCTATGTACTTAATTTAAGAAAAGAAACAGGGTTTTTATGCCAATTTGAGTTCACCATGACTCAATTTGGCTTTTCCCTGTCCAACTTCATTAAGACAACCTTGTCAGATGGAGGAATACAAATAAACAAATAAACAAATAAATATCACTTGAAGTTAATAGGAAAACTTCCAGAGGATATGTGTCGATTCTGTGACATAGAGAAGGAAGACTCTGAACACCTGCTATGCTCTTGTAAAAGGCATATTTCTCTGGATAAGGGGCTGGCAGAACCCTTTGATATTTGGAATGCAGGGCCCAGTCAAGTAGTACATGTCATTCGAAATGTAATACCTAGCTGGGAAAATGCTTTTGGTCAGTCTACGTCGGTCGCTTCACAAAAGAGTGATACGACATACTGATAAAGCAATATAAAAACGGATAATCTATCACAGCAAAGTAATGGTCGCAGTGATGAATATACCCAATACGAAAAAAACACGACTATCCTTTCCTTAACAGCCGTGGTGAACTAAAAATCCTTGATTGATCTATAAATAGATTGAATTAGTGTGCTCGTACATTGAAGATGGAAAAATAATCCCATACATACACCATCAAATCACTGTGGTTCTTTGTGCAAGTGGATTAGTTCTGATCATACACATGGGGAGCAAGTACAAAATGCACGGTCTTTATAAAAAGTTGAAGTGTAACTGAGTGGTTAATATGTTAAATTCAGGAGCAGCGGTAAAGTTAATTCAACAGTGTAACAGAGTAACAATAGAAACAAAGATAATGAATAATACTGAAAAAATAGGGCTTCAGCACAAATCTGGTGATAAATTCTCAAAAATTAATTAAAGGCTTATTTACTGTCTCCCTACTACATTTATCAAAAATTCCAGAATCAGTGATAAACGAGCAAATAAAACGTTTTCTGCTAAGAGAACATCTGATACATTATAATCAATTTGGATGAAGGAGATGATGTTGGATGAATTTTCATAGATCTATGAAATGTCTTTAATTGTACCTTTCATGAATTTCTCATAGCCTAATTAAGTTACTATGGTTTCTCAGCTTCAGCTTTCAAATAGCAAGCAGTTTTTTTTACGCTAATATGACATTGTGTGATCCCTTAGGTACTAAAACTGGTGGACCGATCCTCGGACCTATACTGTTCCATATTTTCATAAATGACTTATTTAATCTACCTCTGACGCTAGCTTGATGGCGTATTGTGCAGTAACGTTCTTTGGAATTGTGGGATGCCGCGTAGTGGCTGCAAAAACGAAAATGACTCCGGTGAAACCTCAGTCGATTCCACGCAACGAACTGAATGCCAAGGTGATTGGAGTAAGAGTTATGAAGAGCGTCGAGGAGAATCTGGACCGATTCAACTACCGTTTTGTCTTAGTTGAAAGCGGATTCACGAAAATACAAAACATACGTAGCCTTCAGAGTAGCAGAGATGCTATCGGAGACTAGTATCGATGAGTAGTATTATGTCCCCTCGGAATTGAACATCGCGGACGAAGGCACCAAATGGGGAGATGGTAGATGTTTTGTTCCTGAAATTCCATGGTTCAATGGTCAGAAATTTCTGAGTCGACCGGAAATCGAATGGCCAAACCAGAAGATCACGTTGTCGGTATCTCAAGAGGACGTCAGGGCTGTCCACCACCAACGTTATGGTAATGCCAACGTGGACACTGTTGTTAATGAGCTACGATAACGGTACTACATACCAACATACGCTTCGTCGTCAGGAAGGTGATTAAACAATACGTAAAGTTTACCACTATTTAACTGCTTAACCGTTCGCGCAGTGCATGTTGAGGTCGTGCACTCTTTGTCAACAGCTTCCTGTAAGAAGGCTATTCGTCGGTTTGTGGCACTAAGAGGCGCTCCACAGCAATCTTCTAGTGATAATGGCACCAACTTTCGAGGAGCTACCGTGAGTTAGCGAATGAAATCGTGAAGTCTCTTTGCCTCAATAATTGACTAAACGATGAGGAGTGGTGACCTTCCTAGCGGTAGCAGAGATGATAGTGAACTCTCGACCTCTTACATTCGTTTCGCTGGAGGATTCGACGGAAGAAGCGGTTACTCCGAACAACTTTCTCCTCCTTCCGTCGATGACAAGGTTTCTTTAAGAACAAACTGTAAATTGATGGAGAATCTCTTAAATCAATTTGGAAACGGTGGATTCAGGCGTATCTACCCACAATAGACAGGAGGCCCAAGTGGTTCAACGGCGTTCTTCCAGTACAGAATGGAAATCTAGTTGTTATTTTGGACGAAGCGGTTGTAACGGATGGTTGCGAGGTCGAGTCGTTATGACATACCCGGGAACGGATAGTCATGTGAGAAAGGTCGATGTTCAAACTTCGTCGGGAGCTCTACAAAGGCCAGCGATCCAAGTAGAACTTCTGAAGGTCCTGGAAGGCCATTCAAGGGGTGTTGTGGAATTTGGACGATAGGCCCTTTTTGATCGCTTCAGCATCGACTCGGTTCAGACGAATATCGACTCGCAATGTCAACTGTTTTCGATAGCGAACCGATGTAAACAACTATTGGCATTTGTTTACTTAAACTAGTAAAGGTGTTTTAGAGATACTTGCTAGGGAAGGTTTGTGGTTTGGCTATGAAATACATGTTTAGATGTTATAGTTAGAGAAAGTTCCATGATTGCGCAGTATCAATAGCAGCTAAAATATTGCTATTTTATTTGAAGCGCCAATAGAATTAGTTTAAACTAATTGAAAATCGTACGCAAACGTGAGTACTTAACTAGATCAATTAAAATACATGTTAATTTGACCCATCCCATCATTAGATAACCTAACCTCAAAACTGAATAATTGGATTGGAATTCTCACGAACCGGTCACTGTTGGAAAACTAATTTTTATGTCTAATTTCTCATAATTGTTATGCCAGAATAAAAAAACTAAAGCTAAATATAATTACAGTCGAGTTGCGGAAAACCGAACTACGGAATAGTTTTTTAACAACCCCATTTAATTGTTTTGTTTATTTGAACCTTGAGACATAAGAGCCAATATAAAAAAATAGTCAAATCACACCCTTAACACTGACCACGCAGGCAGGTCCCAAGAGTTACAAAATCGCCGATGTATCGCAAATAGATAAATCCACAATGGATTATCGAATATTGACACAATTGAATACATCTTTGAATGAGTTTGCTATGATGAAGTAATCACGAATAACACTATTGAAATGTGCCGGTTACATAAACAAAAATAAGTTTTGCTATTCCCAAATAAAAAGAACCGGAAATATCTCTATATGTGGTAGGTTTCCATAATTATTATGAATTACGTTCACTGTTCCTAGCAATAAGCATGTCCCATGAATCACTAAAAGTGATAATTGAAAACACTCACTTTGATCCGTTGCCAAAGCACTGAACTGGTATTCTCAACTAGATGGGCCTTAACGACGCAGTACAGGAATCCTGGGTTCTCGCTTCTGCAATCATCGAAGTCATCGTAGTCATACAGCTTGGGAAATTGTTTCCATGGTTCGGTGGCTGAAAATAATATCTATGAATTCAAATCCACTGAACTGCCGCTCATTGCAAGTCTGTCCGATGGCACAAATCAGCAATCCGAGAAAATCACACATTTGTGTTTGCTTGCTGTGCATTAAAGTAGGCCACTAGTCCTAAATTCCAATCGGGTTTGTAAACTTATCAGATGAGTTCATCCAGTTTTAAGAAAACACGCCAACACCATTGAAAATCTTAAACTCAAATGGAACCGACTTCCACTGAGCGGCAGCGGATATAACATAATAATTTATCCTCTAATCAGAACTTATTTCGTAGCACCACTCACACTGAACCACCCCTTCTTTGATAAATCCGGTAGCCAATATTGAAACACCGCCGACGATTAACACTAGAATATACCGAGATAACATTTTGTTGGACCAAACACACATCACGGAAAACGTCGCTACGACTCGCACTATTTGATCGTGTTGCCCTCAACGGCGACGAGCGCAGACTGTGCATGGTCCTTACAGTGTTTTTGTTGGCTCTGAATTTCCAATTCACTCCAACGGAGCTGTGCGTCACTATATTGTGAGAAGGGTTGCAAACACTTTTGATGAGTGTTATTTATCTAGCTATAGGGTACGTGCACTAGATTTTGCGCTTGAGCTTGAACATAATTTAAAGTTATACGTTGTTGTATTTTATTTACTTTTAGGAAATGGATAAAATAGAAATTTTTATTCCGGGCCATTTAGTTTCTTATGATTAGGTCTTCTAACGTGCTTTCGAAAGATTTCACTGCTCCGGGATGTTTTGTTTACGTGATGTTTGAGTTTCCCTGTTAATTGAATAATCAACAACGTCGAAGGGACAAAAGGTAGGAGGGATTACATTCAATTTTCATCAAAATTAGTTTAGATTTACAAGTGCCATTTCTGGCCAACTGATCAATATTTTCTATGAGAGAGATTTGGTTGAAGTGAACATGTCGACATACAGCACCTATAAGACCTGTATACAAATTGCATGAGTCAATATTATTATCGCTGAAAATTTTACCAAAAATTCATGATATCATGGTTAAAAAGTTACAGTTAAATACGGAGCTGAAAAAAATGGCCTAACAGCTTTTGTAACCAATGTCTTCTTTCGATGATTTCTAAGAAATCAAGACACACCCACGCAAACTTACATAACGCAGACGTGGGCGAGTCTTGACTTTATAGAAATCTAGAGTAACATTTGAAATGGGCCTATGTTCAAAACGTAAACAAAATATTATATTTAAAATTTTTCCGCCACTATTCAATTCATATTTAAGAAAATTGAAGTATTTTATGCATTTATATTGTTTACAATAACAATAGTAACTGTATCTCAGTATACAATATCCAAAATATGCGAAAAGCTTTCAAAAATATATGAAAATCGATAACAATTTAATTTCATAAATTAATAAGCCTTTTTGTGAATCTTTCAATGGATAGGCTCTTTTTGTTAAGCCGTTGTTCTTGTCATCAGAAATGGTACGCCCTTTGCTTAGTCTTTTCGCAACGTCAAATAAATTCAAAACAAATCATCGGTCCTGCCTCAAGCAGTAGGGCCTAGCTTTGGTTTGAAATGTTTCAATCATCGGCCCTTCTACGTCGCTAGGCTTATCAATGAAATGAAATAAATGAATGATTGGCCGTTTTAGCGTGCCTACTAATCAATAAAAAAAAATTCGATTTACATCTGTATTGAGTTGTTTGTGTGTAGTTCTTGTCTACAGACGAATTCGCAAATCTATTAATTTTCGTATATTTTTATTTGGCTAAAAATTATCAGAATCTTTTCTCATGACCAAAAACGCCATTTTGCATCTTCAGATCATCATTTCAAATCGAGCCTAGGTAGCTTCTCTGGCCAAAGCTCCTATTTCCGTACTTAGGAGCTTTGGTCAGAGAAGTTACAGTTGTGTTTAATATAATAGCAGCTCATGCCAATATCCATACAAAATGGTGAACTTTGACAAGTTGTAACTTTGCTCTCTTAAGATTTATTGTACAGAACTAAAAATATGTTCAATTCAATTTAACACACATACAATTGCACTTCCCATCCATAGTCGATCAACAATATATGAAATGCCCCACGTGTGGTCTAAATCGAAGAGAACGATGAATGATACCGCTTTAAAGTAAAGTGTTCGGAAAGCATATTTACCTAGATACGTTGGATATACCTTCGACTTTTACGATTGAATGTCCAACGCGTTTGGAAACGGTTAAGCCATGGAAAAACATAGGTCCAACCATCATCATGCGTAGGTCCAACCATGATCATATTTATCTATTCGAATTTCGTCAATTATTTAAACATTTTAGTGAAACCAATGGATAAATGGCGTACTAACGTGTTGTTTACACCTTAAAGCAGTATTTTACTGCATGAAAATAAAAATAAATGTAAAAAATATATGTTTGTTTGAAAGTAAGGCATGATGACGAGCTAATCGTGGAAAGTGAACTGTTTTGAAAGCACATTGAAACTCAATTGTTTTGAAGTTTTTTTCAATAAAAGACCCATGCAAATTGAAGAAAAAGATTTTTTATGATAGTAAAGTGATCTTTGAAAATAAAAAATTAGCGAAGATTGACTAAACTAGCGATTGAAAAAATAGGTCCAACCATCATCAGTTTTTGGATAGGTCCAACCAGAATCAATTACCCTACAAATAATCATTCGTCGGAAAACGTTAACTCTATGTTTGAGTTTACCTTTACTGCCAATAAAAGCACCCATTTGAAAAAAAAAACAGCAAGCCGAGAAAATCGTCATTGAAAATGTATCTATCCGTCGGTTCTTGTGAATGGGACTGGTATATAGTTTTGATATTTTTCACGAACAAAGCATGTAGCTATTAGTGCACAGTGTAAAATTCCTCCTGTTTACAATCATTTCTAATGGATAACTTTTGTTTCTGGCAATAAATCAGGTTTACTTTTATGATTATATGAGCAGTTTACCTTCGTGATATCGCGATCTTTGAATATCTATGCTCTCGGCTACGTACTATCTCGGCTAATTAAGGTTATTGTACTTAACTACAAACATGCCACGGAGATAAACATCAAAACTCATGCATTGCACGCTTAAGCCACATTTTGGAAAATACAATGTCACAAGTGGTAGTGGTGCGTGCTTACATATAAGATCCACGTGAATGAACCTTAACTCACGAACTGAGCAGAGCTGCGTGAAATTTGGACAGGGAAGGCACGTGGAGATTGCGTACATAGCTGGGCCCGCTTAGCTTTCGGATATTGACATGCATGTTGATTCTACGATTTAGCAGATAGGTGTCAAGCTGTTATTTGAAGATCATCACCTGTTTTAACGATTTCTGTTTGGTATGTATCAGATGTATGATTCATGCTTAAGTATCTATTATTCATTGATTGGCCATTGAACTACTCTAAAAGATTTGATGGCTAGGAGTAGGAAGAAGTAATTGAATACAAATTGGCAAACTATGAAACCATGAAACAGTGTTGCCGGCGCTGGTGGTGTAGTGGTCAGCGTGACTGCTTTCTCACCCCAATGAGTCTCGGTTCAATCCCAGCTGAGGTCAGTGAGATTTTTCTGAGGCACAAAAAATCTCTAGTCACGTCTTCTTTCGGAAGGGAAGTAAAACCGTTGGTTCCGGCCCATGTGTTGTTGAATGGGTGCGAGTGGAAGCTGCCTTCCTACACATTCGATTGCCCATCAATGGATAGCAATCGATGTCCGTCGGTGATTGGCACTATAGATTGCGGAACAGAGACCGACGTAGAATAAAGGAAAGAAGATTAACAGTGTTGACCATAGACAAAAAATAGCAATGAAGGACATGTTGATACTGTTTTAAACGTCTTCTTCAAAGTTTCAAGTTTATAATAATCAATCTGGACAAATAGACTAATTGAATATAAAAATCACAAGCATACAGCAAATACAGTTTATAAAAAAAAAATCAGTTATGGAAATTTGTGTTATACTAATTAAGACGTATGCAATCATAATATATCCTTGTTAATGGCTCATTTAAAAAAAAAAACAACTCAACCCCCCCCCCCCTTTAACGTGGTCAGATCACCTTACCTCCTATTCCAAATCCTGGATACTTTAAACTGGAGAAGCAGGATTTTTCAGTTATCTAAGAGGATCACATATTGGTCCTTGTTGATCTATTTCTCCGACATCATCCACGTCAGCACGCGGACCACTACCTATGTTGCGGATTCCAACTAAACACTGTTTTGTAGTTGCTGTTACTGAGCAGCTTCAAAGCTGGAAATTTATTTTTGATTATGTTAGAGAAATCAATCATTGGAATTATCATTCAAACTTACTTTTTCAGTGTTTACATTCGTTGGTTAGGTTAGGATTTCAGTTGCCGTTGCCGTCAGTTCTATTTTCTTAACAATAGAGCTAACTTATTTTAATCTTATTAGACACTACCCGAATGAAACTATTTATTATTTGTAGTTTTTAGATTTTTGTTAACTTTCGAAGTGTTTTCTCGGTTCAAACACGCGCCAGTTTGACAGTTGCAGCTTTTTCTCTCGTTCCTTCAAAGGAGTCGATCGATGGTCGTTCAAGGGAGTGGACGGTAGCTTCACCTCTACTTGTGCCCAGTGGTTGCGTCAACATTCTCCGACCCGTGAACTTCCTCAGTTCCTGAATGGCCATCCTCGGTTTCCGAAGTTTTATCCGGTTTCACGTCCAGAAGTGCGAGCTTCACAGCTGGCCTTGAAAGAATTCCTCTTGATGTTTGTACTGTGGCTCGTCTGACCTGGTTATCGGTTCCCTTGATAGTCTCTAGAATTCGTCCCCTTGTCCAGCTATTTCTTACATTCTCGTCGATGACTACAACTAAGTCACCTGGCTCTAAAGGCTTCACTTTATCAAACCATTTTGTACGCCTTGTCAACATTGGAAGGTACTCACGTACCCACCTTCTCCAAAATCCATCAACAATGTGTTGTGCCAATTTCCAGCTATCTCAAAGAATATTGCCATCGCCTACCGGCTCCGTTTCCGGTTGCTTCACTCCGCTCGATCCGTACAGTAAAAAATGATTTGGTGTTAGTGCTTCGCCATCTGCTTGCTCTAACGGCACATATGTCAGTGGCCTTGAGTTGACTATCCCTTCTGCTTCTAGCAAGATTGTTTCCAATACCTCATCGCTTGTTTCCAATACCTCATCGCATCGTGGGCTACCAGATATCGCCTTCATCGCAGTTTTCACTGATCTCACTAAACGCTCCCATGGCCCACCCATGTGTGGAGCTGCTGGAACGTTGAACTTCCAAGTGGTGTACGCATTGGTAAAGGTAGAAGCACATTCCCGGTTGATGCCTAGGATCTTCTGTTGCTCTTCGGACAGCTGGCGGTTGGCTCCCACGAAGTTGGTGCCATTATCTGAATACACTTCAAGTGGTGCACCTCGTCGGGCAACGAATCTTCGAAAGGCCATGATACACGACTGTGAGGATAGGCTATGAGTAACTTCAAGGTGAACTGCTCTCACCGTTAGACAGGTGAAAAGTGCTACCCATCTTTTAACCATACTTCGACCTACCTTTACCTCTAGTGGACCAAAATAGTCCACTCCAACGTAGGTGAATGCTCGTATAAACGGTGTGAGCCGGACACTAGGAAGCGGAGCCATCATCGGAGGCTTGGGAACTGCATTCCTTACCTTGCATAGCTGGCATTCTCGCGAAACTTTTCGGATTAGATTACGAAGCCCAGAAATGTAATACTGCTGTCTCATTTCGTTGTGGACCGTCTCATTATTTCCGTGCAGAAAGCATCGATGAAAACTGTCGATTATTAGTGCCGTAACACGATGTTTTTTGGGCAATATCACGGGATATTTGGTAGTATATGAAGCTTCCGGAGCGGCCCCTATTCGACTGCCCATCCGAATTATGCCATGGTCGTCCAGGAATGGGGTTAGCCGGTAAAGGGAGCTGGATTTGACAATTGTTCCTTCGTTTTGCAGTATCGTTACTTCATCCGCATACGCTTCGGCTTGCACTTGACGTAGCACTGTATACTCGGCTTCCTGGATTTCAATGCGTTGTAGAGCAGAACCTCGTTCTTCTACCGGAATCCTCTTCATCAGTAGAGAAACCGCTCGATGTACGTAGGCCATAGCTCTGACCAGACGGTTCCAATTGGAAAATCGGTTCTCGTTTATCAACTTCTCCAGTACATTGAATTGATGTAGGAGGACAGGACGAAGTTCTTCACTGGTGGTAGTGTGATTCTCAGCTTTCACGGGCCATTCATCAACTTCTTTCGCAAGGAACTCTGGACCCTTGAACCAGCGGCTATCGGGATCAAATGTTGGACCACATATCCACTTAGTCGCATCATCAGCTACATTCAAAGCTGATGGCACGTACCTCCATTCATCCAAGCTGCTCAGGGAGAGTATCTCCCCAACACGGAATCCCACAAATTGGTGGTAACGACGGCTGTTCGAGTGTAACCATGCCAGTACTGTGGTTGAGTCTGACCATAGGAAACGTTTGCTGATCGGAAGTGTAAGCGAAGAACAGACTGTCTGCATCAGTCGGGCCCCAATCATAGCTGCCTGTAGCTCCATCCGAGGAATCGAAAGCGGTTTCAAAGGAGCCACCTTTGTTTTTGAGGCCACCAATGCACATCTCGTTCCTTCTACGCAGTCCAATCGGAGGTATGCTACGCAAGCATAGGCTGCTTCACTTGCGTCTACAAACACATGTAGTTGAAGATCTCGCATGGTTTTTGATGAAAGATTCCCGAAGTAACATCGAGGCACCTGAACTTCTCCAATTAGTGCCAGTTGCTCTGACCAACGGTACCACATATCGAGCAAGCTCTCCGTAATCGGTTCGTCCCAGTTTGTTCCAGATCTCCAAATCTCCTGCATTAAAATTTTCCCATGGATGGTGTAATGGGAAATGAAACCAAGAGGATCAAACAACTTCATCACCATTTGTAGTACCTGTCGTTTCGTGGGTATCACGCTTCCGTTGAATAGTCGTTGGGATTCCAGATGCGTCGAAAGTGAATACGTCCTTGAGTGGATCCCAAATCAAGCCAAGTACTCGATCGGAATTGATTTGCTTGTCGGAGTTGATGGATTTGTCTGATGATGCTTCAGGCTCTCCTAAAGCAGATAGAACTTCGGGTGCATTCGAACGAAACTTCCGGATTTCAAACCCTGCAGCTGCGTGAATAGTCTTCACTTCCTTCACAAGCTGCACTGCTTCCTCCACCGTATCCATACTGTCCAGGAAATCATCTACGTAATGGTTTTTAGTAATAGCTTCAACAGCTCTCGGATAGGTTGCAGAGTACTCTTCTGCGTTTTTGTTTTTTATAAACTGCGCAGAGCAGGGTGAGCACGTGGCGCCGAACGTGGCGACATCCATAATATAGATTTCAATGTTTCCATCCGGGCTGCTTCTCCAGAGGAATCGTTGAAACTTCGTATCGGTCACTCGAATCCAGATTTGGTGAAACATTTCACATATGTCACCACAGACTACTCCTAATGGAAGGTACCATACGCGTTGAGGATCCGTCTGCTCAAGCTCTTCATTTGTCGCCTTGTGTGCGTAACCCTTCTTCACGTAGCTTTCGATTTGTTCGTTCACTTTTGCTGCTAGTTCCGGATCTCGTGCCAGGCGCTTCTCCAAACTCTTCAATCGTCCTTTTGCCATGGGTAAGCTGTTAGGAAATACAGGATCATCGACTCTCCACAGCAGTCCTGTTTCATAATGGTTCCCCTTTCGGACTGTAGTTTGTTCCAAAATTTGGAGTGCGCGCTTATCTTCCTCGCCATCAAGCTTCTTGGTAACGGCACTTTCCTCGACAGCAAAGTAACTTCTCATCATGTCGTGTAGCGATTGATTGCTTATAGTTTGACCATAGTGAAAATTCAGGTTTTCTGATGTATGCACGCTTTCAGACTCCTTCCCAAACGCACACTAACCCAGTCGAGTCTTGACAGCAATGGGCCCTTCGTTCCTTCCTTCTCGTGTCTTCAAAGCAGTGAGCAGTCTTGCATGTTCCAACCCTATGATCATGCGCGGTGCAATATCCGAATAACTGTATAGAGGTAATCCGCTCAAATGATGGTACTGATCAGTTAGCTCTTCATAATTGAAAGACTGCTTGGGTAGATTCAACTCGTCGACGGTTTGAACATTCTCCATAGTGTACTTTTTATTGGAGCTACCACCGGCGATGGTCACACTAACGCGTTTCGATCCCTTCTCTTCTCTGGAAATATTCCCGGTCCACGAAAGCCATAACGGAGAAGAAGGCCCATCAATCCCTAGTTGCTCGGCGACTTCAGCTTCTAGAAGAGTTAGACTTGATCCTTCGTCCAGGAATGCGAAAATGTTGGCGACTTTGCCATTCCATGACAGCTTCACTGGCAAGTATCTGAATAGGGAATACGATTTACCGCAATGATGGTTCTGGGGAGCTTGCAAGCTGTTGTTAATCGAAGGTTCCTGCAACATCTGTTCTGTCTGCTGGACGTACTGAGCATGCAAAAGCTGATGGTGACGTGATCGGCAACCTTCGAGTCCACATTCCTTCTTTGAACGGCATGGCCATTTTCGATGAGGTACCAAACAGGTCCGGCACAGATTCTTTTGACGAACAGTCTTCCAACGAGCGTCAATGGTCATGGTTTTGAAAGATTGGCAGTTTGATATTTGATGACTTATATCTTCGCAGTATGAACAACCTTTAAGCGGTCGATCCTGGTCCTCTTGATGGCGTTCTTTATTCTGCTCACTCGATGACTCTTCAGCATGAACGAAGAGTTTCTCTTTGAATCTATCAGAACGACCCACCTTCGAGTTGCCTTGGCATGAATCCGTATTGATCATAAGGTCCGATGCCAGGCTGACTAGATTTGACATAAAGTCGTTGAATGTTGCTAGGTTGACATCAACCTGTGACTGTTTATAGCAACCCCATTGCAGTTTAAAATGTGTGGGTAGTTTCTCTACTAGTTCGCTCAGAAGCATAGGATTCGTGAGATGACTCTGCTGTTCCGCGATGATCATGTGGTCAATCAGGTTCTGTACCGCTAGTCCATAGTCAATTATTGACTTCAAATTATCTGCCTTCGGAGTTGGAGCAGACCGCACGCGCCTCAAGAGAGAATTGATGAGAACTTCCGGTCTTCCATACAGCATGCGAAGGGTTTCAATGACATAAGGTACCGAGGAAGGAAGTAGCAGACGACTTCTTACTGATTCTAGAGCATTCCCTCGTAGACATCGTTGAAGTCTAGACAGGTTTTCTGCGTCACTATAACCGCAAACCTCCGTGGAATTTTTGAAACTACTATAGAAAATAGGCCACTCTTCTGCAGCACCGGCAAAAGTTGGCAAATCTCTAGGCATAACTTGACGAGCGGCTAGTTGATAAGCGGTTGGTCCAGATGCTACTGCTACGTGTTGACAATTCTCCGACCCGTATGGGTTAATCCCGGATGAAACAGGAGCTGTTTGGTTATCCGTACGAGTTGCTGATGCTAATTCAACGTTTCCGAGTCCCACATTTACTGGATCTGGACGCAGACTACCGGGTGCAGTCGACAGGTATGGAAAAACGTTGCTTGTAACTGTGCGTTCACGTTCCATCATTGTTGGGGGGAGATTCCTGCGAGTCAAACTTTCTTGGGTTGCAAATGTTTCGGTGGTTACTGTTGGCAGCGCAGCCAGAGCCGATGAGAACGTAGGAATTGTATTCGTTCCTACAGATGTGCCCCATGGAACGGTGTTGACAGACATACGTGGAAGGTAGCTGGTTGACTTCACAGCTGGAAAATCAAGCAGCTGCACTTGTTGACTATTTACTTGGGGCGTTGCCCTATTGTCAAACGTTTTCGACGAAAATACCCCCGGTGGAGGTAGCAAAGGAGGCACTACTCTGGATACTAATTGGCTTGGCATGGAGACTTCAACTGCTAGGTTCTTCAATTGTGTCGGAGTAGAAACGATTGTCGATCCGCTTCCCGCAGGCGATACATCCAACTTCCTCGAAACTGACTGTGTTTCAGAGGTAGGAATTGTCGCTGTTTTCCCTTGCGTTGCTGCAGGTATTCTGCTGCTATACGGAAGTTTAGTATCCGTTTTACTTATGGAGCCAACCATAACCTCCTTTTCTAACCACTGTTCCAACCATTCCTGCTTCGATTTAGCACTAACATGACTTCTGTTGCTGGCCAAATCTTCATCGTCCTCCATCTGCATCAGTAGCTCGAATCTCTCTTTCAGATATTTCTCTTCCTCTTCCAAACGCTTCATTTTCAGCTTGTTTTGTTGTTCCAATAGTTCCAGGCGCAGTTGGGTTTGTCGAGATTTTCTACTTGATGCCGAAGTGTAAGCAGACATAGTTGAATTTGATTTCTCCTCTTCCTCCGCAGCTGCAGCTAATGCTTTAGATCGGCAAAGTTCACACATCCATGATCGATTTGGATCGGCGATCGATTCGGACACACCCGCACATCCGTAGTGTTCCCATGTTTCACAGGCATCACATCCGACCATACTCTCCGCGGAATCAGGCCTGTCACACTTTTTGCAGTGTTTTTCTTCATCCAGGTGTCCCTGCGGCATCTCTTATTGAAGGTTAGATTTCAATCCCACTCGGGAATTGAAAAACTTTGAAGAATGTTGCGGATTCCAACTAAACACTGTTTTGTAGTTGCTGTTACTGAGCAGCTTCAAAGCTGGAAATTTATTTTTGATTATGTTAGAGAAATCAATCATTGGAATTATCATTCAAACTTACTTTTTCAGTGTTTACATTCGTTGGTTAGGTTAGGATTTCAGTTGCCGTTGCCGTCAGTTCTATTTTCTTAACAATAGAGCTAACTTATTTTAATCTTATTAGACACTACCCGAATGAAACTATTTATTATTTGTAGTTTTTAGATTTTTGTTAACTTTCGAAGTGTTTTCTCGGTTCAAACACGCGCCAGTTTGACAGTTGCAGCTTTTTCTCTCGTTCCTTCAAAGGAGTCGATCGATGGTCGTTCAAGGGAGTGGACGGTAGCTTCACCTCTACTTGTGCCCAGTGGTTGCGTCAACAACCTAGTTGCAGTATGCATGCGCTCAAAACTCTTGCCGCCTGTCACTATTTACAAGAGAGTTTGTGGGGCAATACCAGGCGGGATTCATGGGTGCCCGCGCTACCACGGACCAAATTTTCGCGATTCGGTAGGTTCTGCAGAAATGCCGCTAATACACCGTGTCCACACATCATTTGTTCACCGATTTCAGACCGCTTTGAGAAGCGTCCGAGAACAGTTGTGTGTTTTTGCTCCGCTGCGTGCTTTTTTTTAGAGCTCGGGCTATCTTTGTGCTGCCGTGTAGTTTTTCGGTGCTCGCATTTGAATAGTTTTGTGTCCCGGACGCGATAATTCGATTTAGAATGATTTGTGCTGTTTTTCCCCTGTTGCTTTGGTGCCTGGAGTGCTCTCGCTCCCTTTGTTGACGGTGTGACTCGACTGCGCTGATCTATTATTAGGTTTTTGCGGTGTGCATTGCTTTTGTGCACAGAGTGACGTGAAGAAGAAAAGTGATATTTAGTTATTGTGTGGTTGGATTCGCTGGAGGAGGAATTGTTTAAAAATGACTAGAGAAAATCAAGCATCGAGAATGCGCTCCCGGATATATTGATTTGGTGAGTACGTTCCAGTTGAAGATAGTTCTCTCTAAATATCCCTTTTTTGAATACATTTCATTA